GGCGGCGCCTGGCAAGATGCAAATGAAGCCCGGGATATTTAAATCCCGGGCTTCATTTGCAACTTCGGTTGCCACATTAACCACCCTAGTTCGAAGTCGGGGGTAGTGCAGACAGACCCAAAAGGACCTGGGGGTTCCAGTGGATGAGAAGCTGGATGTGAGTCACCAGGGCGCCCTTGTACCAAGCAGGCTAATGGTAGATTAGGGGCATTAGGAGGAGCGTTGCCAGCAGATCTAGGGAAGGGATCGTTCCCCTTTCTTTGGCTCTGGTGAGGCCACATCTACAATACTGTGTCCAGTTCTGGGCCCCCACTACAGAAACAATGTGGGTGCATTGGAGAGGGTGCAGCGGAGGGCGACCAAAATGATTCGGGGGCTGGAGCATATGACTTATGAGGAGAGACCGAGGGAGTTGGGCTTGTTTAGTTGCAGAAGAGCAGAGTGAGGGGGGATTTGAGAGCAGCCTGCAACTCCCTGAAGGGGGGTCCAGAGAGGCTGGAGAGAGGCTGGTCTCAGGGGTGACGGATGCAGAAGGAGGAGCAATGGGCTCAAGTTGCAGTGGGGAAGGTCCAGGTTGAATATTAGGAAAAACTGTTTCCCTAGGCGGGTGGGGAAGCCCTGGGCTGGGTTCCCCAGGGAGGGGGTGGAAGCTCCATCCCTAGAGGTTGTTTAAGTCTCGGTTTGACAAAGCCCTGGCCGGGTTGATTTAGTTGGGATTGGTCCTGCCTAGAACAGGGGGCGGGACTTGACCTTCTGAGGTCTCTTCCAGCTCTGTGGTTCTATGATATGGCCCAGCAGCAGGGGCCCTATGGGGTCATATGGCCCAGCAGGGGCTGCTATGGACTCATATGGCCCAGTGGGGACTGCTGGGGCCCAGCAGGGGCTGCTATGGACTCATATGGCCCAGTGGGGGCTGGCGGGGCCCAGCAGGGGCCACTGGGGAAAGAGGCCCCGAGGTGGCCCATGTGCATTGCTATGGCCCAGAGCCGACCACTCGTATGGCCCAGTGGGGGCTGCTGGGGCCCAGCAGGGGCCACTGGGGAAAGAGGCCCCGAGGTGGCCCATGTGCATTGCTATGGCCCAGAGCCGACCCGTATAGGGGAATAAAGACCAACAGCGGCGTGTGTGTAGGGACATGCCCGATGCGGTCTCCTGTGAGGGGGCAGCAGCTCTGGCCGGGGGGGGGGGGGGGGGGGCGGGGGGGTTC